TTTATCCCGATAACAACAGGAACAGAAAATGATTACAGTCAACAGGAATTGAAATTATTATTATTTTTTTTTATGATCCTCAATTTAGTTATTTTTTTAAATTTTGTTTTCACTTTACTAATTGTTTGTTTTTATTGACGATAACTTGACACATATATATATAGCGATTGATTCTTTAAATCTGACGGATATAAAGATAATGAATAAGAAAGATGAGAAGAATGTAAAACAGGTGATAAAGATGTGTAATGTGCACTGTCATAAACGGAGAGAGAGAGAGAGAGAGAGAGAGAGAGAGAGAGAGAGAGAGAGAGAGACGATCGGGTTAACTGTTTGGTGAGCTAACAGGAGAAGAACCTCTGGTCTAATTGCACTCATACGTCGTTTGATTGCAATAACCCCTCGTTTAATTGCCGCAGTTCTTCGTTTTAACTGCGATCACTTAGTTTTAGTTGCAATTATATGTCGTTTTAATTGCAATAATTCTACATTTCACTTGCAACATTTCTCCGTTTTCGTTTCAATCTCTTTATTTTAGTTGCAATAATAGATCGTTTGACTGATATAATTCTTTGCTCTTACTATAACCATACATGGAATTATACGCATTATTTCGTCATTTTAATCGCGAACACTTTTTCTCAACCACGGTCACATAGGCACATTGATCTAGCCAGAGAGAGAGAGAGAGAGAGAGAGAGAGAGAGAGAGAGAGAGAGAGAGAGAGAGAGGTTTCTGCTGTAGAATCAACAACAACAACAACAGCAGCTACAGCAGATCCCATGAAATCGGGCGTGCGGGTGGCTGGTGGGTGGTTGAAGGGTGTCGTGCTTGATCGTGAGGGCAGGGAATACAGTACCATTTGGACGACACCGCTACCACCACAACAGTACCTGGAAGTCCAATGACAGAACAGCAGCACCAGCAGCAGCACCAGCAGCAGCACCAGCAGCAGCACCACAGGCAGCAGTAGCGAGTGTAATTAGTGCGGTTGATTGGTGTGGTCGGGTTGGCAGCGCGAAACAAGCAACAGTTGGATGACTCCACCACAACTACCACCACCATCAGCAACACAACAACAACAATATCTCCAACAAGAGGTCATGGTGGTGGTAGGAGTCTCCCCTCAACAGCAGGCGGTATTAGGGAGGGTGAGGGTGTTAGGGGCCGCATGAGGAGGCTAAAGGCTGGCTCTCACTGCCCTCATTATTAAGGCGGTGCAGTGACTACCACAGCTCCCAGACCTCCTTCATACCTTACCTACAGCTGGTGTGTGTGTATGTGTGTGTGTGTGTGTGTGTGTGTGTGTGTGTGTGTGTGTGTGTGTGTGTGTGTGTGTTTCTTTCTCTTTCCACATCTCTCTGTCTCTCTCAAACACACATATTCTCTCTGTACCTTTCTTATTCTCTCTCTCTCTCTCTCTCTCTCTCTCCCCTAACCCAACCATCTCAACCCAACATAATATATAACATTACTCGTTTATAAACAAAAACTATTGAGAAAAATCTACCTCCCAGAGACCAAGAAATTACCCAATGCAACAATGCTTAACAAAAAAAAAAAGGTAGATATATTTATAATGAAAATAATTTACCTGGGAGTCGACCCAACGTGTTTCATTATCGCTGATGAAAATATCTGCCTCGATTTTAAATTACCGATAAGGGTGAGATATGTGTGAGAAAACTGTAGTGCCACGGTAATGATGAGAGATAACGTGTCGTGTTCTCTCTCTCTCTCTCTCTCTCTCTCTCTCTCTCTCTCTCTCTCTCTCTCTCTCTCTCTCTCTCTTTTGTAAACATCCAACACATGTTATTGAACCATTAACATCGGGAAAGGAGAGGGTATTGTAATTGCTCATTGTGTTCGTGAATCAGTCAGTAATAATAATAATAATAATAATAATAATAATAATAATAATAATAATAGCAATAACAACAACAACAACAACAACAATATCAACAACAACAACAACAACTTAACCCACAAATCCATATGGTAAACACCTGATCCAAAAATCACAGTCTAAGGCCCCAAACTTTAAACGATAAGCCATTTATAAGGGCTACTAAAATTCCTCACACACCCACCAAAAAATTCTGAAGCAAAAACTCTGGACTCATACTAACCATTTTTTTTTTTTGCCTCTCGTTAGCACTCGTTAACTACTAGTCATTAAGGTGTAACAGCTCCGTTAGTCTCGGCCTAGTAATGTTCTACAGGCTTTTGGGGGAATGAAGGAAAGGTATTTTTTTTCTTTTTATCGTTTTTTATTTATTTTTTACTTTTTTTTTATCGTTTCTTAATGTGATTCGATAAATTGATAATGTTGGTTAAATAAATCACATGTTATTGATTTACCGTGGAAAAAAAATTAATTGTAAAAAAAAAATTTAAACAATGACTCGACATATGCTAAAAAAAAGATGGATCGATCGACATGAAAAATGAGTTTAGAAATGTCGAAATGTGTCGATATAGAACAGATAATGAGTCAAGGTGTATGAAGAAGAAGTCATTGGTTAAAGATACGTGGCTGAATTATTCCCAAGTGGATAAAACAAGAAATGAAAATGAAAAATAAATATAACTTGGTCAGAAAATCATAATAAATAATAATACCCAAATTAATTGAAAAATACCCAAAATAATCGATAAATACCCAAAAATAATCGACAAATACCCAAAATTAATCGACAAATGCAAAAAATAATCGACAAATACAAAAAAAAAGACAAATGCAAAAAAAATAATCGAAAAATAAAAAAATCCACAAATAAAAAAATCAACAAAAACAACAAAACAATTCGACATTTGTAACAACACGGTCGATAAAAAAAAATAACAAGGTTCCTTTAAACCTGTGACGAAAAATACCATAATTATCTGAAGCTTGACTAAGGTAAGGAGCCATCCATCCAGCCATTCATCCAGCCATTCATCCATCCAGCCATTCATCCATCCAGCCATCCAGCCAGCCAGCCAGCCAGCCAGCCAGCCAGCCAGCCAGCCAGCCAGCCTACATGTCATCCCAAACGACCGCAAGTGACATGAAAGTTAAAGTCATGACACCAGGTTTATAGCCATGACGTCAGAGCTACTTTAATAACGTCACACTCCAAACTTGTTGACGTCATAGTCGTAGTTCATGACATCACAGTGGTGGGCGGGGAAGTCAGAGGGGCGTTAATGACATCAGCTGTGGCGGTGTTGTACGAACAGTGATCTTAACGTAAAAACTGCGTCTGTCATGATGTCAGAACAGAGGAAATGACATCACAGCGGCAGTAATGAAGTCCAACTACTTTTAATGACGTAATTGATGTGGTAATGGTGATGTAACGGCGATGGTAATGAGGCCTGCAGGGTGGTAATGACATTAGAGTGGAGATAATGACGTCAAAGTAGAGGTAATGACGTCAAAGTGAAGGTAATGACGTCAAAGTAGAGGTAATGACGTTAAAGTGAAGGTAATGACATCGAAGTAAAGATAATGATGTCAAAGTGCAGGTATTGACGTCAAAGTGAAGGTAATGATGTCAAAGTAGAGGTAATGACGACAAAGTGGAGGTAATGATGTCAAAGTAGAGGTAATGACGTTAAAGTGAAGGTAATGATGTCAAAGTGAAGATAATGATGTCAAAGTGAAGGCAATGATGTCAAAGTGAAGGTAATGACGACAAAGTGGAGGTAATGACGTCAAAGTAATGATGTCAAAGTGGAGGTATTGACGTCAAAGTGAAGGTAATGATGTCAAAGTAGAGGTAATGACGACAAAGTGGAGGTAATGATGTCAAAGTAGAGGTAATGACGTTAAAGTGAAGGTAATGATGTCAAAGTGAAGATAATGATGTCAAAGTGAAGGCAATGATGTCAAAGTGAAGGTAATGACGACAAAGTGGAGGTAATGACGTCAGAGGGTAGGTAAGCCCCCTGGGGAAAAATGTCGCAACTTTACGAGGTTTTAAACGACGTAAGACTAACGGTGTCGCGAGGCAATTTTCGCTAATGAACAAAAGTTGGGACAGCACCTGATGGCTCGTCGTGTGTGTGTGTGTGAGAGAGAGAGAGAGAGAGAGAGAGAGAGAGAGAGAGAGAGAGAGAGAGATTTCTAAACTAAAAAAAAAAAATTAATCATGGCTCTCACTAACTATAATATAACCAGGTAAAATTTTGGACATTATTTTTCAATGACCTTGTGTACAAATGACCATGCGAGGGGGAGGAGTGGGAGGTGGGATAGAATGACATATAATAGGTAGTTTATCTATAGATTCATATATGACCTCACCCTTTGACCTACCTTGAATAATTTACCTTCTTAGGGGTCAAGGTCAGACTCATATTGAAAAAGTTTACCGCACGATCTCATGATTTGCATATTGAATTTTATACTTTGGTCACTAGAGTTTTGCTTTTTATATTTAATGAAGCTTTTGTGTCTATTTACCTGAGTTACCTGGTTATGTATACGGTATATGAACCTAACCTAACCTAGCCTAACCTAACCTAACCTAGCCTAACCTAACCTAACCTAGCCTAACCTAACCTAACCTAGCCTAACCTAACCTAACCTAGCCTAACCTAACCTAACCTAGCCTAACCTAACCTAACCTAGCCTAACCTAACCTAACCTAGCCTAACCTAACCTAACCTAGCCTAACCTAACCTAGCCTAACCTAACCTAACCTAGCATAACCTAACCTAACCTAACTTAGCATAACCTAACCTAACCTAGCCTAACCTAACCTAACCTAGCATAACCTAACCTAACCTAACTTAGCATAACCTAACCTGACCTAACCTAAAATTCATAAACATAGAGATATAACCAGATAATTACTAAGCTTGAGTCAAATAAAACTGAAAGCTGTTGTTCCCTAAGCTTGACTCATTATGAACACCTGAACATTGCTAAGTAGTAATAAGTGAAGTGACTCACATAAAAGACACAGCTGAATATGACTAAACTTGACTCATAATGACTTTAAGTGACTCACATTGAACAGGAAGGTGAAATTGTAGGCTGGTGGGTTGGCGCGGGCGGCACACGTGAGGGTGGCAGAGTCACCTGCCCGTAGGCCGCCCACGCCTCCTACACCGCCCACCTTGCTGGTCGCCCGCCCCTGGCCACCTCCGCCCTCGATGCTGATGCTCGCCTCTGGGACATCTGTTGGAGAAAATACAAATATTTCTTAATTTTTAACTTTACTGATAAAAATTGATATTAAAGAACAGACATAGAGTTGTTCTTTACCAGTACCACTCAGAACCTTCAGCTAGAGTGTGTTGTTCTTCATCAGGTGGACTATGAGGAAGTAACTAGATCTGTAAGCACACCTGTCATGGTTGGCCTTGGTGTTAATTAAAGTGTCGACCTTTAAGAGAGCCACGAGTCCAGAGGGTCAATATCTGGATTCACAGGTATTATGTTGGAGTCCCTCCCTTCCTCCCTTCCCCCCTTCCTCCCTTTCTCTCTTCCTCTCTCTTTCCCTCCTTCCCTTTTTCTCCCTCTATCCCTTTCTTCCTTCATTTTTCTCTCTTTTTCTCCCTTCCTCTCTCCTTTTCTCCCTTCCTCTCTTCTTCCCTCCATTTTTCCTTTCCTCTCTCTCTCTCCCTTCCTTCCTTCTTCCCTCCCTCCCTCCCTTCCTCCCTCCCTCCCTCCCTCTCTCACTCCACATGCTAGGGGGGCAAGGAAGGATGAAGTGAGGAAGAGGGAGCGGGAAGAAGGAGAAATGAAAGGAGGATGGGGAGACGAAAGGAGGGAATGAGAGAAAGGTAGAAGAAGGACAGGAAGAGGGAGAGAGGTAAAAAAAAAACACGATAGCTAGGGCAAGATGTGAGTGAGGGAAGGATTGAAGAAGAAGGAGGGAAGAAGGTAGAGATAAATAATAAAGAGGGAGAGATAAACCAAAATAGACCAAAGATGGAGAGAAAAATATAAGAAAACAAAAGGAGAACGAAAAGAAAGAGATAAAGAAAGAAAAAACACGAAGGTGGGAAAGGACAGAATAGAAAGAGAGAGAGAGAGAGAGAGAGAGAGAGAGAATAGTTTATATAGGCCAATGTCCTGTATCAGCTTAGAACCTCCCAGTCATCAACTTATTAAAGCTCTATCAGACAGACATAAAGATAGACAGATAGACAGATATGCAGAAAAATTAAAAAAACGACTGATAGACAGGTGATAGACATAACCGGGGACTCCTGTCTATTTGACGAGTAATCAATCTCATCTGTCTCAACTATAGACGACATATGAAGATTTTCGACTTGGTAGGAAGATTTGAAGAAGACGGGAAGATAAGAAGAGAAGAGGAAGAGTGGAGGAAGACAGAATGATAAAGATATATGTGGTTGAGGAAGAAGAAGAAGAAGAAGAAGAAGAAGAAGAAGAAGAAGAAGAAGAAGAAGAAGAAGAAGAAGAAGAAGAAGAAGAAGAAGAAGAAGAAGAAGAAGAAGAAGAAGAAGAAGAAGAAGAAGAAGAAGAAGAAGAAGTGAAGAAGAAGAAGAAGAAGAAGAAGAAGAAGAAGAAGAAGAAGAAGAAGAAGAAGAAGAAGAAGAAGAAGAAGAAGAAGAAGAAGAAGAAGAAGAAGAAGAAGAAGAAGAAGAAGAAGAAGAAGAAGAAGAAGAAGAAGAAGAAGAAGAAGAAGAAGAAGAAGAAGAAGAAGAAGAAGAAGAAGAAGAAGAAGAAGAAGAAGAAGAAGAAGAAGAAGAAGAAGACGAAGAAGAAGAAGAAGAAGAAGAAGATGAAGAAGAAGAAGAAGAAGAAGATGAAGAAGAAGAAGAAGATGAAGAAGAAGAAGAAGAAGAAGAAGAAGAAGAAGAAGAAGAAGAAGAAGAAGAAGAAGAAGAAGAAGAAGAAGAAGAAGCAATAAAGAAGAAGAAGAAGAAGAAGAAGAAGAAGAAGAAGAAGAAGAAGAAGAAGAAGAAGAAGAAGAAGAAGAAGAAGAAGAAGAAGAAGAAGAAGAAGAAGAAGAAGAAGAAGAAGAAGAAGAAGTGCCTTATATCCCTAGATTTCGTTATATTTTAGATTATTTATGATTTTTTTTATCTTGTATTTACATTTCTATTATTAATGTCAAAACTAAAGACGGTTCTGCTTTTATTTTGTTTAGCAATACAGAAAAAAAAAACAACAATTGGATGTGTTTTCTTGTGTTGACTATATAGTTCATAAAAAAACTTTCATTCTGTTTAGTGGGTCAGAAAAAACACGTCTTTGGGAGCCTATTGGTCATACTGCTCGACATATGTATCTCTATATGTATATTACCAATTACATGTTGGTGGCTAAAGAGAATTTTTACTGATCTGTTAACAAAACATATGACCTTAGGATAGATACTGGTTTTTAAGAGAAATATTTACCTTAATGTATGACCAGCTGAAGACATATTGTTTTAATAAATGGATGTATTGTTACGACTGAGGTGAATAGTGTTGTAAAAATTTTGTTTATAGATCTGCTGGAGTCGTGAGATTTTATCGAATTCAGACAAGATGCGATACAGGAAGATCATTTTTTTTTTAAGAAAGTTTTCTACTGTTCTAAGAGAGACGGGTTCTCTTTTCTTAAGCATAAAGTTATTCTGTAAGGTTTGTCTTCTTTCTCTTCATTATTTCTGTATCTTTATAATGAGAGAGAGAGAGAGAGAGAGAGAGAGAGAGAGAGAGAGAGAGAGAGAGAGAGAGAGAGAGAGAGCTGTGTTATTAGTCTGCCATGTAAACACTGTCGGGGTGGGATCAGTCCTCTTCTGCATCATGGCTCTGGTGGGAGGACAAGTCTGGTCTAGCAGCACACGATCTCCCGCGGGTAAAGCGAGTTTGAAGGTGAGACGGCCGCTATTTCCCCTTGATTGCCGACGATTTCTCCCGTCCTGTGAGTCTGTGAGTTTGTGAGTCTGCGAGGCTTGAACTCTCACCCTCCCCTTCCCTCTTCCCCACTCCCTTCTTCACTTCCTGGGAGTTGCAACGCTGAATTGCCCTTTCAATTGCAGAGGTTTCAAAGTCGTCGTTTCTGTTATGCCACCCACCAACCTCTGCTTTCAATGTGGTCGTCTTTGTATCATGTAGAGGACACAGTCTGATGTGACCCTCCATTCATGAGTTGCTGTGTACACATCCTTTGATATTCTGAAGTTGGATCCTTGCATGGGGAGTCCGCCTCAGTTGTTTTAAAGACCTTATGTTTTGGTTATTCGTGAAGCATTTTGTAACCTCATTGTTGAAGCGTCTCTGGTGAACGCTGTCTAATACCTTGATGTTGTGGCACTGTTGTGTCTATGATTCTGCAACGTCATATGAGGCTGTCAGGAGTCTACATCGTAAATACTATAGTTTATAAACAGTCGATATATTTCAAGGCGGTAGTTGTTTACTGATGTTGGTTAGGTTAGGTTAGGTTAGGTTACGAAGATAGAACCTGGTTTAGGACGTAGTGGTACCTTTCTATTCTTAAAGTTGATGGTGTGTTTAAGGCATCAAACAGAACGTGCAACTCAATCACCTTAAAGTCAAATGATCCCCAGAGTGTGACCACGAGGGCTCCATCAACATGTATGAGGCGCTGTAACACCTTTATCTTAGCCTGACAGAGGAGCAAGAACTCTCACCACCTCAGGTTTGAATCATCGCAACATCTCACAGCGACCGGCGTTGATAGTTGCTGCATCAGGGACAAATGAGAACTTTTACCACCAAGTAACCTGTCTCAGATAATGTGACCAGAAAAAAACAAACAGGAAAAAGTTCCTTACTATGAGGAGGACTCTTGATTTTTATTCTTGGTGACCACTATTGTATTACGGTGTGTCAGACGTTGTGATGGTCGGCCACCTCTCAGAGCTCCTCAGCCACCACTTCCCCTGGCTGGTTCACCATTTGTCTGAGCGTGATTTGTGTCAAGTTTCTTCTGCCACCTGACGCTCGCTGCTCGTGTGCTGGCAAAAGTTCTTGTCACTGAGCAACTCTCGATTTCTGGTGAGCAATTTCTCCTACACTGACGTGATTTCCGTGTCGCGTACATCAAGTTATACATAGTAGGAATCACATACACCACAAAACCAGGTAAAACATGACATGATATCAAAGCTGCATAAGACTGACCACCTTGTAAGCTGATTCAAACATTGTCACAAACGAGTTGCCACTCCTATATGACCTCCACTGTAAGACTGCTGTTGACTCCAGTTTGGTTTGAAGTTCTATTACAAAGATTATTTCACTCTTGGGAAGGTAAGAATATTAGTCATCAGTGATCATAAAACCCCCCCAACTTTTGACAGATTTTCCTATTGACTTTCGTGGCGTTCTGAGTATTGTAATTTCCTGATAAGGTCTATTACGCTGTTATAATGAGAGAGCTTGACGATGACCTGTAGAGACGATAGTGTATAATTATAGGTAATTAAACTGTAAGATGATGTTGCCACGGTAAATCAAACACCTATAATTATTGTTGTGTTGAGGAGAGAAAAACAAATTTGGATAATTACACATAATCATGAAAGAGTCTATAATTACCTACGATAATGATATACAGGTTGGTGCAGAAACTTGGATATACAGGGTGGTGTAGAAATAGATATAAAGGGTGGTGCAGAAATAGATATAAAGGAGAGAGTTTATATTATTGTTTTTATTTATAGTTAAAGGATAATGCCGACTACCAGATGAATCTAGTCTCTCTCTCTCTCTCTCTCTCTCTCTCTCTCTCTCTCTCTCTCTCTCTCTCTCTCTCCATCAGTACTCACAGTGAACGGTGAGTCTGATAGAGTCTGTGGCAGTGAGGTGCGGCAGTGTGGGTGCGGCGGCGCGGCACTCTAGCAGACCTCCGTCGTCGCCAGCAGTAGCCAGCAGACGCATCAGAGAAACTGTGGAGTCTAGCCCCAGAGTCTGCTGTAATGGGGAGAGATGAGTTAAGAGGTGGGGAGAGGAGGAGATAGGGAGAGGAGGAAGTAGGGAGAGGAGGAGTTAGGGAGAGGAGGAGGTAGGAAGAAGAGGAGGAGGTAGGGAGAGGAGGAGGTAGGGAGAGGAGGAGGTAGGGATAGGATAAGGTAGAGGTAGGGAGATGAGGAGAGGTAAGGGTAGAATCTATTCACACTCTACCTTACCATCGGCTAAGCTCTGGGCGATACAAAGAGGCAGTAATTATATTAAGAGGAAATTAACATAATTTGTGATAATAACATTAAGGAGAGAGACGAAAGGAGGAGGAGGAGGAAGAGGAAGAGGAGGAGGAAGAGGAGGAGGAAGAGGAAGAGGAGGAAGAGGAAGAGGAGGAGTAGGAAACGGAAAAAAAAATAACATAGTAATTAATGATGGATTACATATTGGGGGATGCATCTGAAGTGTGGTCAGAGTGAGACAAGAGATTTAATAAAAGGTGATGTGTAATTAGGGTGTAATAAAGGGAGAGATGATTAACTTAGGAGGGTAATTAGGGATGTGGGAAGAGGGAAGGATGGGATATACTGAGTTGTGTAGGTTTATGTATGGGAAGGGGCGGGGGGTGGGGGGGAGAGCTTGGGAGGAAGGAGGGGTAGGGAGGGGCTGGGGGGTGGGTGGGGAAGGGAGGGGTAGGGAGGGGAGGGGGTAGGAGGAGGGCTGGGAGGGGTTGGGGGTAGGAAGGGAGGGGTAGGGAGGGGAGGGGAGGGAGGAGGGAGGGGTGGGAGGAGGGGGAGAGGTAGGGAAGGGAGGGGTAGGGAGGAGGTAGGAGGGTAATGAAGGGGAGGAGGAGATGAGTACAAAGGATGATTATGGTGGAATCGGAAGAAGAGGGGGAGATAAGAGGAGGAAGAAAAGAGGAAGAAGAAGCAGAGGAAGATGAAGAAGAGAAGGAAGGGGAACAAGGGGGAGAAAAAATAGCCACTTGACTCTAATAAAATAAACTACACAATAAAATAAACCACATAACAAGACATTATTTATATATAAAACAAACTTATAAGAACCACAGCCTTTAATTAAACCTAAATTATATCTTACACTAAAGTTAAACCTGAAACACCGATTTCTTCATAAAATTCATCTTTTAATAAATATAAATTGGAAACAAACTGAAATCGCTTGTAGGGTTGAATTTGTAATGAAGATCAACTTGCAACAGAGTGACAAATGAGAGAGACTTACAGCGTTTGCAATATAGAAAACCCTTCAACAGAGAGGCACTTGCAACACAAAATTAGTCTGTTAGAATATTTACAACCTTAAAACAGAATGAAGATAATAATCAAAATAAACCTGCAACATGTAGAAACCTGCAATATAGAGGGAACTTTCAATATACTGAAGTGTGCAATGTTATCAATAAGAGAACTGTGTAATATTAGTGGAATATTGTAATAAGAAAGTGTAGTTGCAAATTATAAGTGTGTAACATTAAGAGAAGATTGCAACATAAAAATAAGTGTGTAGCAATTAGGGGAGATTCCTAGTAAGTGTACAACATAATCATAAGTGTGCAACATAATTATAACTGTGCATCATAATTATAAGTATGCAGCATAATTATAACTGTGCAACATAATTATAACTGTGCAACATATTTATAAGTGTGCAGCATAATTATAAGTATGCAACATAATTATAACTGTGCAGCATAATTATAAATGTGTAGCATAATTAAAAGTGTACAAATGAGTGATGGTTGTAATTAAGTGGAGTCAGGGAGAGAGATATTTGTTACAGGAATGGTTAAAGTGTTGGAGGGGAGAAAGGCGACACGTGTTGGAATTTATTAAAAGAGAGAGAGAGAGAGAGAGAGAGAGAGAGAGAGAGAGAGAGAGAGAGAGAGAGAGAGAGAGAGAGAGAGAGAGAGAGGAGAGAGAGAGAGAGAGAGAGAGAGGGGCCAACGCTCACAGACAACAAATTTAATATATACGGGAAAAGATATGAAAAAAATTTATACATTAACCATATATGCATTTAGACATGAAATTATGTGTTAAATATTAAAAATTCAGTAATATCAGTATTTAATTTAAAAGCCGTGACGGACCAGTGTGTGTGTACAGACTATTATTGCCGTGCTCTCTCTCTCTCTCTCATCTCAATGCTTCTCTTCTGTCACTCTCTCTCTCTCTCTCTCTCTCTCTCTCTCTCTCTCTCTCTCTCTCTCTCTCTCTCTCTCTCTCTCTCTCTCTCTCTCTCTCTCTGTCACTCACTCTCTCTCTTTCTACAGGCATCACTTAATACCTGGCTACGGAACTGAGGTGAAGTCATGTCAATATTTAGAGAGTGCTAACCTTGCTGCCAGAAACTAAACATGATTATATTAAATACACAAGTTGTACGTTGTTAAGGTCTTATGAAGTGAATCACATTAATGGTCTACGTATATTGTAAGACTTCAGAGACACAAATGTACCAAAATTGGGATACATATTAGACAATTTATTTTGAGATTCTATTTCTTGTGTATGAAACCTTAAAACAATTATATAAATTAGACATATAAATACATACAAACTGGGGATCGAACCCTACTCTCTCATATGGAAGATGAGTGTTGTGCCACTTAACCATCCCCACTAAAGAACTGCTCAGATTATATTGGTAAAGTCAATTATGTTAACACCAATATTTTCCAAGACTCCCACAGGTCGCTTACTGCTGCCACACAATCAGTACTCACACCGAAGTAGTTTTTTTTTTGAGGCGGGTATTATTGCACCTCACACAGTAGGGAAGATTGTGTATATTAGTCTCCTCATTCATAAGAACCGTATAAGACTTCACATTGGCGATACTTATATATTATTCGTTATAATTGCCTTCATTATATGTATTATAGGAGATTATAAACATACACATAAAATATGTTTAGATACTACGTTAAAATATACAGGAATTCGGTATTGTTTTTCCCTCATTGTAATAATCTTTCCTTGAAGCCACAAACCCACTGGCCAACTCCACCTAAACACACAGAGTTACACCCATAATTTAATCTTGTATGTACTACTCTCACACACACACAGGTAGAAGATGCTCTAACCCACGCGACCTCTTTTCACCTGTAGCCGGGGTTCTTTTAATTTACAGGGTACTACAGTAAATACTCTTTATACCCCGTCTAGTGGAGAAGTGGAAGTCGAACCAAGGAGACGAGGTATCTATTCACGGAGAGTAAACACACACTCAAGTCCACCTGGTTGTTTGCTTGTGTGTAAAGGAGATAGAATGAACTGAAAAACGGGGATGGTGAACACGAACACGAACACGTACAGCATATAAATATTATCTGCGAGTGGGTCATTCCTGTGTACGTGATTCCGTGATCATGTTTATAGGTACGTGGGTGATGTCAGGTAAGTACATCATACGTAAGTGTTTGGAAGTAAGTGTCTGTTCATTCTGGAGGGTCTTTGACTTTTATTAGTGTATGGTTAGTGTGTGTTTGAGAACGAGTGTGTTAATATTTCCTCTTAACTCGACTGTGTTTTGAATGCGGTAATAATTATCTATTTTTTACCAACTTTTATAAATGAGTATTAGTAAATAAGTGACTCTACCATACATACATTAAACACTAATAATCTTATAAAATCCTCAGGTAAACAAACAAAACAAACCTCAGAGATACAACCAAAATTATAACACAGTATCTCGTCCCATCTTCTGCGTCAGTATGTTTTGTATTTTCTCAGCACCCACACACACACACAGGACTCTATATGACCACCCAGTGTATGTTATCCTGAAGGCTGCTGCTGAAACCCAAGTAAGTCAGATGGGACCAGTGAGGCTTTGATGATGGTGTCGGCGTTGCGTCGGTGAGTGGACAAAGGGATCACAGGATGTTGTGTTATCTTAAGGTAGGCTGAGGAGGAAGAGGCACAGACCCGTTGATGTGGGTGTGTGTGGGTGTGTGGGTGGGTGTGTGGGAGGGGCACTACAGATGAGAGAAAATAAAGATGAGGGAGACACCTACCACATGGATGTTATGGGTGAGGTGTTGTCCTCTGAGCCACCAGGTAAGGACAGGTGGGGGTCTGACTCCTGAAGCTTCACACCTTATGTCATACTGGCGACCTCCTGACAGCTTCATCCCAGGCTTGGTGAGCGTCACTTCCAGCTCAGAGTCTGGAGGAAGACACAAAAAGAACAGCATGTGGTTAGGTTAGGTTTGGTTAGGTTAGGTTATGCGTCTATATACAAATTAAAACTTTATTACTTTGTATGCACGTATGATATAAACAATATGTAAATGATGCATGAAAGGCTAATTTAATAAAGTTTTAACACAATTACTGCATAACTACAAGTTTTAGGAGCAGTAAATTAAAAAACCTCTGGAATAGAGAGAGAGAGAGAGAGAGAGAGAGAGAGAGAGAGAGAGAGAGAGAGAGAGAGAGAGACACAGGAGAACAGCAGGAAACTTCACCAAGTATAATTTTTAAACCAAATTACAAATGAGAAACTCAGAACTCATCCCTCCAGTTTAATCTCCCGTGTGTGTGGCTGTCGGTGGATGACAGACACACACTCTGCATACATTTATCACCTACACCATTATCTGTTTTCTCACACACCAAGAGGGAAGGGGAGGTGGTTATGTACACACGAGTGAAAATTCCCGATAAAAGGAGGATTTTGAAGGTTAGTTTAATGGTGTAGGAAGGAATTAAAGATGTTGTCAAGACATTCTTAGCGGGTACTAATGATTGTTAGTTTGTGTTAAAATATAAAGGCTTTGTATATATATGGTATTCGTTAACTCTTTGAGGAGGACCAGGTTAGGTTATCGTTCTCAAAGGGTCATATGCGTTTTGCTGAAGTTAAATATTCGATATCTGGCAGGCGGTTCACTGCCACAGAAAAGTTAAAATTATATTCTATCCTTTTGTGGTGAGTATCAGTTAAGACGACTGTCATTCACTCCTCCAAACACCCACACGTCTGCCAGTACAGGTTATTGAGTGAGTCTTCCTGTAGAGGTTTGTACTGTATATCGTGTTTTCAGGGTTTTCGTTCGTTCCCTCCGATATAGAACGAGAGTTAATAATGTAGATGTTGAATATGAGGTTAAAATATATTATTATCTTTGTTTTACTTATTAATTCTCTTCACAAAGAAAAATAATCCCCGACCGTATGAGTAGATTGTATTTTTTTATTTTTTATTTATTTATTTCTGGAGGGCCGTGGTCGCCAACCCCGAGATGTGACTGATTAAATTCTACATAACAGGTGAACTATATTGACTCACCTGTCTCTTGGAGGAGGACAGAGGCACTTAGCGGGGGGAGAGCAGGTGTGTTGGCCGCCGTGCAGGTTAGGTTATGGGTGAGGTGGGCGCGCGTGACGGCCGCTACATGCAGGGTGTTGGTCACGTAGGGCGCGGCAGGCGTGGTAGAGGGTGTGGCCAGTGATGTGATGCCCTCCTGCCGTTCCTCCACCTCAGAGTCTAGCAGCGTTGACCCCGACCACCAGGTAACGTTGGGCAGCGGCTCACCTGTACACGAGAGAAGAGGAAGGTGAAGTAATACTGAGGTCTTTTGCATACTTACATAATTAAAATATATCACAAGAACAAGAACAAGGATCAAAACAAGAACAAGGGCAAGAACAAAACAAGAACAAGGACAAGGACAAGTATAAGAACAAGTACACTTCGTTAACCATCTTATACTCATAGGTGTTCAGTTCATACAACGTCATTAAAAAAATCTACTAAAAAAAAGCTATGAACATAAATAACCTGAGAATTACAAACACAGAAAAGATTGATAACTAAAGATGAAAAATAATAAAATAAATAAAATCCAAATAAAAAATCCCCCCAAACCCCAAAATTACCAAAAAAGCCAAAAAAAAAAAATATATATATACCTATAGAACCAAAATACAAAAAAAAATAAAAAGCCTACAGAAGCCTAAGAAACAAAACAAAAGAGCAACATCAACCAGAACTACAGAAAAGTCAGACTGCTAATAACACCATCAGACCCTGAGGAGGAAATGACTGGTGCTGTAGAGGCTTCACCTACCTCCCGCAGCTCTACAGGAGAGAGTTAGCGGGTGGTTCTCTTCTACAGACGCCACATCCTCTACGAGTGCGCCCCCGGAACTGTAGATGCGTAAATGGCGAGGCAGGT